CAGTTTTTTTATATCATATTTATGTTTTTTTTTTTTTTTTTTTTTTTTTTTTTTAGGAGCTTATTTTAATGCAAACGCACAAAGAAATAAGGTTGCTATGGGAACACTAACTCTTAATTCCTTGATGTGTGCATGTAACACAACAAATGTAGTATTCCACTAAGCCTGTCTTTTGCATAAAATTTTCAGTGCATTTTCAGAGAAAGAATGATTTGGTAAACAGTGAAGGGAATGGATGGGAAGAACTAAAATATAAGAAAGAATTCTATAGGGCATTAAGAGGTATCTATAGTTCAGGCGGGGGGGAAGGACAAAGAATATGCCCAGTTTCTATTTCTTGAGAATTTCCAATCATGATTTTTTTCTAAGCTTATGTCATAAAATTTCTTTGAGCTGAAAACCCATATTACTAATGCTGTTGGCTACTGGCTTTCAGGTATATTAATTGAAAACCTGGAGACAGTGAAGTGAATTTTTACAGTCAACTCTTACATAATGCTGGGAAGAATTAACAGTCATGTAGCCAGTAGAGATAAAATTGCATAACTATCTGATAAACTGCACCTATTATGTGCAGTTGACCTTCCAGACTTCACTGTGCCATTATCCTTTTTCCCTATTGCTTTCCCATTCTAGCAGTGTTTGAAAAATGGAGCAATCATAAAATATATCTGTCTAAAGATACTTGTTAGGGATTCCATTCTAAATTGCAGTTACCTCTGCTACAGAATTACTAGTACCTACTCCAGCCCTGGGCCCGACGCACATGGATAGTTTAGTACCTTACACCTCTGCAAAGAGAAAGATGAGAATGTTCCACATCTGTAAATGGGTCCATCTCTGCAGTGGGACAGACAATAACTGCTTATATATTTTTCAGCTGGTTATATTTTTTCACACTGCATAGCTCTCTAGGATCCATTATGCAGCTGTTAAATTGGAGACCTACTTCTTTAAGCAAAAGCTATGTTAGGCCTTTTTTTGTCCATCTCTTCTAATACTTATGTTTGAAATCATATCAAGGTTTCCACCTTGGCAGATGCAGTTATCCAAAAAAAAAAAAAAAAAAAAGAATCAATTTATGTGGTATTTAACCTAAAAGAATATGATTAGGCAAGGAATTAATTGTCTCAAATTCCTTCCTAGGTTGTTTTACAAATTATGTATGCCTATGTTAATACCTGCTCAAACATCTTTTTACATACGTAATTTCAAATATTTATGTTTTGGTGTTGCTCCTTGTGGTTACCTAGTAAGATTTTATTCTTTCTTTGACTCTTGAAGAACATAGAAGAAAGAATGGGATAATGACTATTATTATATATGTAACGTATACAGATTGATAGTCCTTTCTCTTGCGGTAAAACCACTATAAAATAGTAATTATTAGCATTTTGTTAGTGAAGCTTTGTAAATATAAAGTATAAGTCTCTGAATTTGGACAGCATTAGACCCTGTTTCCATTGAAATTTGTAATGATTCCTAATTTGAATTTAATTGTCCAAGAAATTATTGGTCAGTTGCTTTAGGCATTACAAAAATAACTACATAAGACAAAAATGTCATTGAATTCAATGGACATGGGAAATGTCAATAATTCTCATTAAATTTCTTATAAACTTCATCTAGCATGAGCTAACTACCACTGAAATTCAACTCTGAGTGAGGGATCTGGATCCATAGTTGTCTTCGTTTCTACTTCTCTTGAAAATACTTGGAATCAAAAGTAATCGCACCAAATATTTAAAAAAAACATTCAAACCACCTTATTATTTTAAAATAATTTTTTCTCCTTTCATATTCCTATGCAGCTCTGTATGATTTGAAGATGATCAACTGCAGTATCTTTCTGAGTAATGTTGGAGGTAAAAGAGCTGCAGATACTGTAGTTGGTCATCTAAATCATATGAGGTGCTTCATACAAAGTTATTCAATTATTCAAAGTTATTCAGACTATCCAAACACTCTTCCCTCTTCTAACCTTAGAATCCTGTGTTATTCTGGGAATCATTTGTTAATAATGATATTTTAAAACAAACCTATGCTCCTAGTACAGGAATAACTGAAGTTTTATTAAAATTAAGGAAAAAATCCAAATATGGACTTAGATGTTTTATTTTTTTTCAGATTAGATTATTTATTGTATAAAACTTCATACCAAAAGTTAATTTTTAAAAAAATGTTTATTCAGTGAAGTAAAAAATGGTGGTGGGGGAAAGGAGAAAGGATTAAAGATAGATTATACATTTTGGTCCAGTGACAAGCCTGGCTATATGAATGAAAGACCACCATAGGCATCATGCATGTTTCTGAAACACAGTTTTCCTTCATCTTTATTGCTGAATAATAATTTATTACTTGCCTAAATCAGCAACAGTTTTTATTGGCCTTTCTTATGTACCTGTCTCTCTTTATTCTCTGCCTCCTTGTTCTGGAAACAGTTTAAATGGGCCAGATACAGTCCCTGTTCCCCAGACTTTCAGTCTAAGGTCTGTAAAAGCCTTGCAAGATTATAAACTAGCATTTTTAATCTGGCATGTAGACAGATGACAATGTGTTTGATAGAACGGAATCGTTTTTTCAATACTGTATGATTATCAGGAGTGTGCATACTTAATGGGAGTGTTTTCTGTTGTAGGTGATTCAGATTGTCAGTGCTGTTGACAAAGATGATCCTAAAAACGGGCATTATTTCCTCTACAGTCTTCTTCCTGAAATGGTCAACAATCCAAATTTCACCATCAAGAAAAATGAAGGTAAATATAAAACGTATATGATGTGTATCTGAACAACTTAGTTTTGAATTGTTTTGTTGACTTCCAGTTACTTTACCAGTTTGTCCCTTGGGCAATTACAATGTGGATAATCTGTTTAATGATACCTTCATTATATCTCTAAAGCTATTTCCAATATCTTTACAGTAGATAAGAAGAAAGTAAAATGAATACTGAATTTAGATCCAGAAGACAGCTCACTGGTTTAAATAAAATTAAAGGATGGATTTACTGCCTGTTTTATTTCTATTAATTTGAAATTCCAGAGGTATGCTGTAAGTTGAAAATCTGAAACTATGTTGATAAATAAATGTTGATCCTACCTTGACTGGATATATATGGGAGCATAAAATTAAGTATTTACTAAATCCCTCAAAGGAAACACCTTTTAAGCCTGTTTGCTGTGTGTATAAAAGTTCCAAAGTATTTCAGTTAAGCACTTTTACTAGAAAGAGAAATCTGCTAGGTCAGCAAAGCCCAGAAGGGCACTTTGTATCATGAAGCTTTAGAGAACTTCTGGAAGGGCATAATGTCATTTGGTAGTACTATAGAAGTGGAATTTCATGCGTGATGGAAAAAAAGACCCATTTAATATTGTTGAGCAATAAATTTACACTGATCCTTTTCTTTGGCACACAGATATATTTGAAGGTCATGTGAGAAAGAGCTAGGAATGATCACAAGAATGCTATAAATAGTGCTTTATGTATTTGTACTTACTTGAATATTCAGCAAAGTTTTTCCATCTTGGCTTCTTTTTGTTTTATAAAACAGTACCCTGTCAGGAATTTTAGTCAAATTCAGTCTCTTATTTCTCTTATTTGAAATGATAATGAAGGAAATCCCAATTTAGTCCATTACGAATAGGAAGATGTATGTGAGGTGTACGTGCATGAGTGTAAAAGTAATATATGAAATGTCAAATAAAGAAAATGCTGTTTTCATTTTTTATTCTAGCTGTTCCAACCAAGAATGATGGCACCATTTTGTTAAATGATACTATAAAAACCTAAATTCTTAAATCTGCTTAAATATATCCTGATTTTTTCTTTTCATTACGTATGTTTTTCTCCTACAATATTCATGAAGTGTGTCTCTACTTATATTTGTACTTTCATGTAGGAAATAAGTCTCTGTATATTTTCTGCACTTACAGGAGAAGATAAAACAAATCTCTTCAAAATACATTTCATAATCATCAGTAGTGTAACACAAATTGAATTCAGCATCCTACATGTGAGGTGGTTTGCGCATCATGACAAAGTAAAAAAGGTCTTAGCATTTCTCTTCATGTTTGAATACTTAGCTCACATCACTAATTAGCCTTGTCCTTCCAATCTGTTACCCATTTAAGACCCACTCTTACTCCTAGTCACAGACAATGGCAAAATGACTCCTGATCTGAGTGGGAGTGGGGAACCTTTCTATATAACATACTTCCAAAAAATAAGTCCAATTTTGTTTCAATGTTCCCACTCAGTTTTGCAGTTTTTAATGCATTTGAATCAGTTAAATGTGTAAATCCTCTTAAAACAACCAACTGAAATCTCTTGAAATTAAAAATCCACTTGAAGAGACTTTTCTGATTTAATATTTCAGTATGCAAGAATAAAATTCCAACTATGCATACCATCCTTTTCTTTCAAGATTGCTCAATGACAGATGCAGTCCATGGTTGATGCTAATATTCCTGTCAAAGCCAAAATCAGGGTCTAATTTGATTGAGGTGAGGTTTCATGTTATTTAAACATCATAAATCTTTAGTAAGTCTTTATTTAGTTATGCCACTTAAACAATGAGCTTGACTATGATTTTGTCTTGCATATTTCTTCTAGATAGGCATGAGTGATGATTCTTGTTGAAGAAACTCCAGTATTCCTAAAAACACTGAACTCACAAGTCAAATTTCTCCTTAGTTGTACTAATGGGTGTCTGGGCTGTCCAAAAGCCAGTTTGGTGTGGTTTATGAGAAGCGATGTAAGAAAATGCCTATAACAAACCCTACTCTCATTTCTGGAGAATTGTGTTTCCAAGGATCAGATCAGTGCACCACCCACTTAGGCTTGGAATGGAAAAACATTTTCTCATACTGATGGGCAAAATCCTTGACATCTTCCTGACTGTGACCTCAGCTTCAACTTCTTTCCATATTCTTGGCCCTGCTAAATTCTTCGAGGCGAATGAGACTGCCTCGATGGCTCCTGAAGAAATGCTATCCTTTTATGGACATTATAAATGGATTGCATTTTCTCAGGAAACCTAATATAGAAATCTTTTATTTGCTAGAACTAGTAAATTTTTTTCTTTTTAAAAATTATTTTCCATATCTTGTCTTTCTCCAAAATTCTCTGAAGTGCAGACATAAACAAAAGTACCCCTCCTGAAGAGCGTTTGTAAAAATATATTACCCTCTGGGATTCTTATTTTGTGCTTTAGGTAACATTGTGGCATTTGGCAATTACTTCCCTACTTCACGAAGTAATGACATTATCTGATCTGGTGGTACTAGTATGCAAACAATGCAGTTTGGCATCTGCCATGGGAAGAAAGCTGTGATGTTCTGTTTCTGTCCCTCATACTAAAGAATATATGATGCATGTATTTTGGAATTTTCGCTTGCTATATGGAACATAAGCAAAATCATTAATTAATTCAGTTTGTTGCCTACAGGCTAATTCTATTGTTTAAACTTTCCTGATTGCCCTAAGGCAAGTTCACATGATACTTCAGTAATTAACTGTGCTGCCCAAGTATACTACAAATATTATGATTGGCTACATTGTTATTGCCAAATATGTTTAACTGAGTGACACAATGGTGTATCTTCATCAGAAACCACAAAACAACCCACTTCTCCTAAGACTGTATTAGGTATTATAGAAATTATCCTGTGATCATAGCCGAATCTGTTCCTTGAAATGATATACCGGAATCCTTTATTTGTTTGGTCTGTTAAATTTGCAAATCTACAATCTGTAGACAAGATGCCCAAAACTGTAGAGGCTGTAGTGCCTTTCTGATGTGAGTAATGTAAAAATGTAAATTTATATGTCTTCATACATCTCACTAAATGTCTTCAGATCATGTCTTAGAAATCTTTATTTTTCATATCTCCTGATCTGTTCTTTCTGTTCTTTTCTGAGCTCAAATGTCTGTTACTGAGTAGTTTTTCTTAGGCTTTGTGCCTTGGCTAAATGGGCAGCTCCTGATAATCTGAAGTAAAGCAATCCTATTCTCTCAAACTGTAGCGCAAGGAACACCAATCATTTAGATTGCCAGATGCATAAATCTTTATCCCTTCACAAAAGAAATATTAAAATTATGTAATAAAAATATAAGAAGTTAATGCAACATGAAAATCATGTAGTGTTTTCTGTGTTAGTCCTGGTGACTAAACCTGTGTCTCCGTGATGTAACAGATCTTTGACTGCCTAAACTCAGAGACTGTCTGGTCGATGACTTTTCACATGTCTTTGTGCTGAGTTTCTGCATAGGAGCAGAAATGCGAAAAATTATAATAAATGTTTTGTGTAGCGTTTCTGACAAACTTCAAACCAGAAAAACCCTCAAACTTCAGATGAAAATATCTGATGTTTAGGCAGGTGTTGATACACTCTAGCAATGTGTTGTAGATTCCTTAGCTGAATAGAATCAGCCCTTCCAAAAAGCTGTAGGATCACAGTAAATGACAAAAAAAATGACAGGAATTTAGACAACTGATAAGGATTTTGTACTGTCATGGCATCAGTAAACTGAAACGAGACCTCTGGAAATTGAATTAGCATTTGTTGACAGTCTTTTTTCAGGTGAGTGGTCTTCACATAGCGTTACCTAAAACCTAATGCCAGTACATGGATCGTCTCCTGCATCCCAAACAATACGCTCACAGCAATACCTGATTTCAGCATTGAATTCCTAATGTTCTTATGGTTTCCTTAGGTTGTTCAAGTGAGAACACGAGTTTTGTGATAAAAGTGTTTTCACAGATGTAAACATTTTGATAGGCTGCCGATGCAATTTTTACTTTCAAAAACTAGCAAATACATTTTTGCCGTAGAGACTTAAATTTTTACCCAAAAGATGTTTCCATTGCTCTTCCATTTTTTTTTAAGCCAGATTCTGTTTCCTAATGGAATAAACCCGAATCAAATGTTCTGCAGTGCCTTTGGATGCAGTAACTCTTCTGAGAGAAGAAGTGGTGCATCTCTTCTGTATAAATGTGATATTGCATACCTCTTACTAGGGCTTATATAGTAGAACCATCACAGGGTTGCCTGGAACGTGGGCACGTCTTGTCTTTGGGTTAAGAGAACCATCTTAATGGCATGCGTACGTATTCCTGCAGAAGTCCACTAGCCTTACAAGTAATCAGCCTCCCCTCTCCCCCAAATATTCAGTGTCCATGTGGTGATTTAGGCTCTGAATTTGGGTCAAACTGACTTTAGTGAGTGCATAGTAAAGAGGGTTTTTTCTTTTTGAATTGAAGCATTAGATGTACTTCAGTGATGAACTGTTCTGTTGGTTCTCTATAATGAACTTAATATTTATTCTCAGCCATGCTTAGTCTCTTATACCTATGATACCTATAATAGCTCTGAGAATGTTCATGTTTTAATGTCCATTTCTTTTCTGCTTTACATCTAGCAAGTTTAATCTGTCACTTATGTCCTCATTGTGCTGCCTTGAAAGTATAGGCAATGTGTCATGTATCTAAAAGGAAATAGCCTGGTATAATCACTTCAATCACTAACTGGCTTGCATGCCTTTGTATACTATTGCACATCTTATTTTAAAATATTTGCTATGTCTCATCACCTCTTTACCATTAACAAACAAGTATTTCTAACCTATTTAGAAATAGCTGGAGAGGACAATTACATACATTGTCTCTTTTAGATATCCCAAATAATAAAAACAAATGATCAGTGCTACTTCATTTTTGAAAGGACTTCTGTGTCACTGTGTTTTTAATGTAATAAAACCTAGATTTTTTCCACATCTTTTTCCTGAAAATATTTTTAGCAGCATCTGTCAAATGCATACCTGGAGGGCGAGTCTTTTGTTCCCACAAGAGTAACTCTCGTGTGTTAAAATGAATTTCTTTCCCAGAATCAGTTTCTTTTGGCATTTCTCGGTAAGTCTCTCTGCCATTGTCTCAGCTGCCAGCTAAAGCTCTTCTGTGTTTTTGACTGACTTTTCTTTCCAAATGTATACCTCAGAGAGCTAAGAGGTGGCACTGCTATTTCATTGCCCTCCTTCCAGTTTGCCCAATTTCAAAGTTAACCCACTGACCTCAGGTACAAATTGCCTTAGCAAGGACATCATTAAACCCATCATTTCTTGATGGATGTACAACGAACCTCTACAATAACAGCACCCATATGGTCCCTTGGATATGAGCGGTAAATCCTCATACATTTTTGCAGTTTCATGCAATTTTTCAAGAGCCTTGGGAAGTGTGGCCCAGCTGCCATCTATGCCAGAGGGTGTTTCACAATGGCAATTCTTGAGAGAAAGAACGTGCTTATATACTTCTAATGTGTTTAATTACTATCCTCATTTCTTTT